CATCTGAAGGGCACAGCTGCGGCTTCTGCTGGCTCCTTCTCCATGCGCTCATCAGTTCCAGCCTTAAAGCGACTGCAGCCCGAAACTGGCCTGAAACCCGCAGAGCAGATTTTTCTTTCTCTCATCGTGGTTTCTCCCACCTTCATAAACTCCAGGGGTCTCTCCTCCTCCTCCCCTGAGCTCCCGCAGCCACAGCTTGGCTGATGTTACATTTTTATAGTTGTAAATTGATTTGTAGGAGAGAGTGATGCTGGGGACTATCTACTATGCCATCTTGACCAGAACCCTCAGATTCATATTATCTTTTAATTTTATTTTTTCCCTGAACTTTTTAAGGTACCCTTGTATTTCTAATATTCTGAGGACACTCCATACTGTTTTCTGTAGTGGCTAAACTAATGTACACTCACACCAACAGTATGCAAGGCCTCCCTTTCTTCACATCCTCTCCAACACTTGTTATCTTTTGTCTTTTTGATAACAGTCATTCTAATACGTGTATAGTGACATCTACTTGTGCTTTTAATTTGCATTTCTCTGATTAGTGTTTTTGAGCATTTTTTATATAACTGTTGGCCATTTCTATGTCTTATTTTGAGGTATGTCTATTCCGATCCTTTACCCATTTTTTTTTTCCTTTTTGTCTTTTTTCGTGTCCGGCAACGGATCGCAACCCTCAGTGTCGCGCCCGTACCGGACCGGGACCGGCAACGGGATCGCAACCCGCGGTGTCGCGTCCGCACCTTGCTCAGCCAGTGAGCGGGAACTGGTCTGTATGTGGGATCCGAACCCTCGGCGGGAGCGCCGCCGCGCTTCCAAGCAGCGCACTATAGCAGTGCGCCACCGGGCCGGCCCTTTTACCCATTTTTCATTCAGGTTATTTGTCTTCTGACTATTGAGTTGAGTTCCTTATATTTTGGATATTAACCTCTTACCAGATGTATGGTTTGCAAATATCTTCTATCATTCTGTAGGTTGTCTCTTCAGTCTGTTGTTTCCTCAGCTGTATAGAAGCTTTTTAGCTTATTGTAATCCCATTTGTCTATTTTTGCTTTTGTTGCCTATGACTTTGGGTTTGTATTAAAAAAATCATTGCCTAGACCAATGTCATGGAGCTTTCCCCCTGTGTTTTCCTCTAGCGGTTTCACAGTTTCAGGTCTTACATTTATTTAAGTCTTTAATCCATTTGGAGTTGATTTTTGTGTACAGTGTGAGATAAGGATTATTCTTGTCTTATGGTTCATGTTTTACATAAGCTTTCTTAATATAGTAATTAGTTTTCAAAGAGATGATTTTTTAGAATAGTTTTAGATTTACAGAAAAATTGAGAAAATAGCATAGAAAGTTCTCATATATCCCCCTCCCAGTTTCTATTATTAACATCTTACATTAGTATGGTACTTTTATTATAATTGATAAACTAATATTGATGCATTATTATTATAGTCCATACTTTATTTACATTTCTTTAATTTTTTCTGTTCCAGGAGTCCACCCAGGATATCACACTACATTTAATTGTCATGTCTCCTTAGGCTCCTTTTGGCTGTGACAATTTCTCAGACTTTCTTTGTTTTTTATGACCATGGCAGTTTTAAGGAGTACTGGTCAGGTATCGTGTAGGACATTCCTCTACTGGAATTTGTCTGATGTTTTTCTCATGATTAGACTGGGTTTATGGATTTTTGGGAGAAAGACCACAGAGTTAACATGCCATTTGCAACATATCCTATCAATGGTACATTCTATCAACACAATTTATGACTACTGATGTTGACCTTGATCACCAGGCTGAGTTAGTATTTGTCAGGTACCCCTACTGTAAAGTTACCTACCCCCACCCAAATCACTATGCACAGCCCACTCTTAAGTAGTGGAATATCCTCTCGAAGGGACTATATCCACTAAACTATTTGGAATTATTCTGCACAGATTTGTCTCTTCTCCCCATTCAATCATTTATTTATATCAGTATGTGTAATTAGTTTTTAAAATTTTTCATCTGTTTCCTTAATGAGTTTTATTTTTTTTCTGGGTCAGTTTTTCTGTGTATGTGGTTTTTTAACCTTGATTTTTCTTTTTTATGATGATGGTTTTCCTCATATGCCTGGCTGTTCATTCATATTTAAAGACAAGGTAGTTGATGTAATTTTCCTCTGCTGAAATGTAAGTTGGTCTATTTTTCAATAGGTGTCTTTCTTGATTATCTGTGTGCTAGTTACACGGATGTGCCCATATTGTGAAAATTCACTGGTGCACTTGTGATGGGTGTTCTGTGTGAGTAGATTTCATAAAAAAAATTTTTTAAAAATGACAGCAGCCATGTATACAAGTTTTTAGAAAACCCTCCCATGGCCGGCCCGGTGGCGCACTGCTACAGTGCACTGCTTGGGAGCGCAGCGGCGGGCCCACCGAGGGTTCGGTTCCCACACAC